CTGGCATTACCGCGAGGCCCGCCTGCTAAGCAACGGGCGCCTTCCCGGGCGCTGGCATTACCGCGAGGCCCGCCTGCTAAGTAACGGGCGCCTTCCCGGGCGCTGGCATTACCGCGAGGCCTGCCTGCTAAGTAACGGGCGCCTTCCCGGGCGCTGGCATTACCGCGAGGCCTGCCTGCTAAGTAACGGGCACCTCCCCGGGCGCTGGCATTACCGTGAGGCATTTACTCTCGCCTCCCGATCACTTCTCACAATGTCCCTTCAGTTCCAAATTATATTTCTCCCGATTATGTCCGGACTATAAGACTCAAACATTCCTACACTATAATACTGAAGACTAATGGAGAATGATGTAATAAGATTGATTATGTAACTGAATATGTGATTGAATCTAATATCTATTTGGTGTCATTGTAATAACTAATCAGTTGTTTATTATGTGGGACAGATTGTGCCTCAGTCTCTTGCTGAGGCACCCGGGCAACTTTCTTCCCACACCAGCCCACCTGTCCATCCCTGAACTGTCCCCTTCAGGCTCAGAGGTCCCGTCTGCCCCCAGCACTGGGTCCGGGCCTGTGCCGGGGGTGATCGCTGCTGTCTCCATCCTCACGGTTGCTGTGGTCATGTTCGCCTGCTACATGTGCCGCCGTTCCCGGCAACGCCAGGAGGTAGGGTGCCCTGCACCCCAGGATGAGCGGGGTGGGGAGTCCTGGGTGGGGCCAGCCCAGGCTGAGCTCACCCTCACTGTCCTCCACCCCCGGGGCTCCAGGAGAGGGTAGGGAAGCACCAGTCCCAGAGAGTCAGTCCCCGCCAGGGGCCCAGCTGGCTATGGCCAAGAACACAGAGCCAGACTCCCACCAGACCCACTATGCCCTCCCTACAACCGTCACTGTCCCCAGGACTCCCTGGAGGGCAGCATGGCAGGACGTGCCATCTCCATCAGGGATGGAACCTGGAGTTTCTGAGCCAAACGGGCCTCTTGCAGAGGGTGCCACCCCCAGCAGGTTCAGAACCCAGGGCTGGGGGAGTGTGGAAGGGTGTGTGTTGTGAGGGTGCGTGGTGTGCTTAGGGGTGGGGGTGTGCACGCAAGCACACACCCGAGGGCAGAGCTGTGGACCCAGGGACGAGATGCCACACATGCACCTCCTTCCGCCCTCCCCAGGTGAAGTTCCTCCCAGAACTCCAGATGAAGTTCTGAGCCCCCGGAGCGGGAACCCAGCAGGGTCTGCGTAGGAGCCCCCCGCCTGTGGCTCCCAGCCCCCAAGCCCACCCCGAGGCCACCAGCACCGGTGATGGAACCCTCAGCCCTTGGAGCACTGGGGCTGCTGTCCCCCAACCGTTGTTTCCAGATGCCACAGACCCTAACCACCTGCCTGGCACAGAGGGCACAGGAGAGCCGGCCCTGAGTGCTGACCTTGGGTGGTGGGGCCTGGGTCTCTTGTCCCACCGGAGGGCAGGGACACCGGCTTGCTTGGGAGGGCCTGGGAGAGCAGGCGGCAGCCTGGACCTCTGTGCCACCCACTCCGGGGTGGGTGCAGACCCTTCCCCTCCACCCCCCAGGTCTTCCAAGCTCTGCTTCCTCAGTTTCCAAAATGGGACCACCTCAGCACTGCAGTGCCCGACCTACCAGGACCCATGCCCCTCCCTCCGCCCTCCTCAAACCCACAGACCCAGGCTGCCTTCTGCCGCCCTGGGCTGAGTCTAGCCCTGAGTTCGGGGTCTTCTCTCTCCACTCCCTGAGCAGCCCCCAAGCGAGGGGGCCGCTGCTGGAACCGCGGAGATACTCCAGTTCAGGGCTTTGGGGGGCTTTGGCCATGTACCTGTCCCTTGCCTATGAGAATAGCAGGTTTGGGGGGCCCTCCCTCAGGAGCCCCAGGGGCCAAGGTCGGGTGGGGTGTCAGAGGCTGGGATGGTGCCTGGCCCCACCACCAGGGGGCAGCGCAGGCCGGGCCGGGAGGAGGCGGTGGCGGCTTGGGCTCGGGCTGGGGCTGGTGAGTCCGGCGCTGCCCCCCGACCCGGGGCTGGACGTGCGTCCCTCAGTCCCTTGGCCGCCTGGGGGCGCCCCCTCTCGGCCACCCCACCTGCCGGGCCGCCTTGGACCCAGATCTGTGGGTGCTTTTTGTCACTGCGGTGGAGCCCTTTGATGTCTTCTTGAGGAGTGTGGGGTGAAAAAGCAACTCCCGGAATCCCCCTTCGCTTTTCTGAAAAAGTTCCGTGACCCGAGTCTTTGAAATAAAGAAAACGGGACTCACAAACAGCCAAGTCGCTGGGAAATGCAATTTTTAAAATGAAAAACAAAAATCTAAAAGAAACATCTTTAGTGCTTTAAGCCCCAAAACGTCCCTAAGGCGTCCTAAAGATGAAGACTCAGGGAGCCCTCCCTCCCTGAAGTGAGCAGGGGCACAGCGGTGCCGGGTGACCGTGGCCTCGCAGAGCCGGCCGCCCTGAGGGTCGCGCCGGAGCAGGGTCCAAAAGGGGCGAGTTTGTGTCTCAGGTTAAAATAAGGTTTGAGTCACCCCGTGCTGGGTCCGGGGCTCAACTGGGTCAGATCCTGTCCTGTGGGCACAGCCCCCGGGACCCCCATGTGGGCCTCGGGCTGTCACACCAGCCTACACAGGCGGAAGAGTGTTGGCGTGTCTTCGGGTCAATCAAAGTTCTTTTTTCTTTTCTTTTCTTTTCTTTTGCTTTTTTTTTTTTGGAGACAGGGTCTAGGTCTGTCGCCCAGGCTGGAGAACAAGGGCGCGATCAGGGCTCAATGCAGCCTCAACCTCCTGGGCTCAAGCGATTCTCCCACCCTGGCCTCCCAAAGTGTTGGGATTACAGGCATGAGCCCCTGCGCCCAGCCTCAGGTCATTCTGAAATTGGTAGTGTGGGTGGGGCACACGGTGGCCCTGGTGGCCCCTGCACACCCAGGCAGGAACCTCGGAGGAGATCCTGGGCTGGAGTCCCTGAGGATTTTCATCTTTTCCTGGCGGCTTCTCTGTTTCCATTTTCCCTACTGGAATTTAGTGCTGGTCCTCACGCCGCCTTCCCCCTCGGTGTGTGGGGGTCTGTGTCTGCTTCTGCACCCCCAGCCCCGCCCAGCCCCGTGCTGACCTCAGACACCCCGGCAGGTCCTGGCCTCAGGGATCCTGCCATGCTCATCCCACTGCCTGGAATGCTGATCCCTGAGGCCTCAGTTGGTGTCGCCCACAGCCTCTTCCTGGGTTGGCCTTTGGGGGCCACACCTGAGCCCTGTCCTGCCGGCTGTCCATCTGGCCTCCCCGAGGTCAGCTCCAGGTGGGAGGGCCGCGGTCTGCACTGACCCCTGCTCCTGCCACAGTGTCTGGCGTAAAGACACCCGGTGAGCGTTGCTGACGGAATGCACGCATGGAGCAGAGGCCAGAGGAAGGGCTGCTCTGGAAAGCGCGTTAGCTCCACATCCTTCCTGGGGTGCTCCAGGGCCTCTGGGCAAGATTCTGCCCCCAAGCCCTCTGTCTCTCGTTCATGGAGAGTTCATGGGCCCTCAGCCCAGCAGACAACCTGCACCACCTCACAGGCCCACACGTGTCTCAGCACCGCCTGCTGTGGCTGGGGCCCTGGGGAAGCAGCTCAGGGCTGCAGGTCCATGTGTGAGTCACACACACACATCTCTGCACACACACGGAGTCTCAAGCATGCATCTCTGCACACACACGACACACACGTGTGAACCTACTCCTGCACGTGTGCTGTAGATGCTGGCTCTGGGCACTGACATGGATGCTTCATCATTGTGGTGGGGGGCCCTCAGAACAGAGAAGTGCCCCCTTTCAGCAGACTCAGACCTCTTGGGGTCCGAGGCCGGGCATGGGTCTTCCTCAGCTCCCTGAGCTGAGCACTCCGGCCTGGTACGCTCCTCCCAGGAAGAGGGGGAACCTCAGGCCTGGACCGTAGCTCAGCCCTCCCGCCCCCGGGACGGGGAACACAAAGCCTCCAGGTTGGCTGGTCAGCTGCAGCGTTGGGCACAGGCCTGGGCTCTTTTCACAGCCACACCTGGGGGGCTGGGTCTGGCCTGCCCTGCGCACTGTGTGGGTGACTGACAGGTGGCTCCAGGTTTCTGGGCATAAATCAGGTCCCAGTAGAAAGTGCCCCAGAGGAACAGGCAGGCTGGGCCGAGGCAGCCCTGCCCCTCACCTCCAGACCCTGCCACCTGCCCCCAGCCAGTTCTCGGTCCTCTCATCTGCCCAACCCCCGATCTTGACCTCCTCCCTGTGGAGATGCAAAGGCAGGGTGGGGGCAGGGACACCCTGTGGTCAGGACGGCTCTTGGGGAAACAGCGCTGGGGAGGGGAAAGTGAGGCCACCCAGCACCACCCTGGTCTGAGGCACCGCCTCCAGGAAGCCCTCTCTGAGCTCTGAGGCCTGCGGTCTGCTGTATGCTGCTCTCTGTGGGGTCCTGCTTACCCAGAGGGTAAGCAGCTGCACTCACCGGGCTGGGAAGGCTGGATGTGGGAACATGGCCCAGCCCCCGAGGCTCCTGCTGCTGGCCCTCCTCCTGGCACTGGCCCGAGGCCTGCCTGAGGCCCTGGCCATCCAAGGTAAGAGCTTCCCAGACCCTCCTTGGCCACATCTCTGGAGCTTCCCCTGCCCCGTGAGCTCAGCACCCCCAGCCTGGGCCACAGCACAGCCCCCGGGAAGCAGGTGGGGTGTTGAGCGGCCTCCACCGTCTGGGGACTCATTTAAGAGAAGGAGAAAGGGGGACCCAGGTGGAGAGTGGCCATGGCTGTCCAAGCAGGGCCACTGCTTTGGGAGGAAGAAGCCCCAAGGCCTTGGAGCATGAGGACAGCCCCCGACGCTGGTGCCCAGAGCTGCTCCAGGCCCCGTAAGGCACCGTGTCTTCGGCGACATGTCAGCCCTGGGCTGTCCCAGGCCCTACTGTCCCCTGGCTCCCCAGGTTCCCAGCAGGGAGGACATTCTCTGTCCTTCTGGCCAGCCTGGTGGTGACAGCCCAGGTCCTCCCTAGAGATGCAGCAGTCTCCCTGCTTCACGATCGCCCCCGTGGAAGGCTCTGTCAACATCACCTGCTCCACCAGTGGGGCCCTGAGTGGGATCTACCTGAAGCAACTCTGGCCACAGCCCACAGACATCATTTACTACGAGGACGGGGCGACGCCCACAGTGAACACAGTGTTCAGGGACCGTGTCAACTTCTCGGGGTCCCAGGACAAACTGACCATCACCATGCAGCGCCTGCAGCCAGCGGACACTGGGACCTACACCTGCGAGGGCGTCACGGAGACTGATGTCTTCCGCCCCCGCCATGGCACCTTGGTCCTGGTGACAGGTAGGGAATGTGCCCACCCCAGGCCCCTCCCCCAGCTGCTGGCCAGGCCAGCTCCCCAGCCCTTGTCGGGGTACCCTCCCTCCTACATGTGCCTGCACTGTTCTAGCTCCCAGCCCACCCCCTCCCAGCAGCTTCCTAGATAGCTGCCCCCCTCCCCTCCACTGCCTCTCCCTGCCCTGAACCCCAAATCCCAGGGGCTCTAACAAGGTTCTCCACCGGAGAATCCCTTCCTCCCTTCTTCCTTCTCAGAAGAACTGTCCCAAGGAGCACACAGATGCCCAGAGGCCCGGCCGACAGCCTCTGCCCTCCCTGCGGCCCTGATGGTGGTCTCCTTCCTCCTCGGGCTGGGCCTGGGGGTGGCGTGTGTGCTGGGTAGGACCCAGGTCAGTGTAAGCCTCAGCTGCCACCTGCATCCCCACAATTGTACCTCTCCTGAGAGCAGAGTGGGGGGCGCCAAGGCCTCAAAGGAAAACCCCAGCACTGGATGCCTCCTCTGCAGGCTCCGGGAGCTCTCAGGGTGGAAGTGGCATGGTAGGGAGGGAGGGGAATCAGAAGTGAAGCTGGGGCCCGTGTGTGCACCTGTGCGGGTGTGCAGGTGTGAGTGTGGGATGAGGGGGTCGCTGAGGCCTGCGTGTGCATGCTGGAATGTGCTGGCATACTGTGTGGTCATGGGAAGGGGAGGGGCCTCGGACCGGCACAGGGTCTGGTCTGTGGCCACTGCCCTCCGTCCTTGCTGTTTGTCTGGGGCCGGAGTGGGGGCCTGCTTGGCCTGGGCTGGGGTGTCCAAGCCGCTTCCACCCTCCTTCTTCAGAGGCACTGCCCTGGGGTCCGACCCATCCCTGTCTGGGGAAGCCTCTGCCAGGAAGCCCTGGGGCTCAGGAGAACTGGGGGCCGGCCCAGAGGAGCCCCTCGGGGGTCCAGTGTTAAAATTAGAACTGACCAGAGTGGGGTGGGGTCCAGGACACCACGCCAGCCACTGGTTTCAGATGACAGGTTCTGTTTTTCAGATGAAGAAAGTGTGCTCATCTCGGGACAGGGACTCGGCGGCCGCGTGCGTGGTGTATGAGGACATGTCCCACAGCCGCTGCAACACGCTGTCCGCCCCCAATCTGTACCAGTGACCCAGTGCGCCTGCCACGCCCCGCCGGGGTCCCCACACCGCCTCCCCTGCCCCGCGGCGCCCCGCATCCCGCCGCGCCCCGCATCCCGCCACGCCCCTCATCCCGCCACGCCCCTCACCCC